AGCAAGAGCTGAGAGTTTGTTGTGAAGGAGAGTTTGTGAGAGAGAGAGGCAGAGACAATGGGATGGGGCAGATATTTCGGAAGAGGGCGTTAGGTCCTCTTGGACATGCGTGCCAAATGAATTGTGGTGACTTGTGCTTGTGCTTGCAATGTTCTGTATTTTGAGAGGGGGGGGGTCATCATGGCCCCTGGAGTACACCACATCTCTCTGCTCATTCCCTACCCACAAACAGCAGCGGCAGCACCACATCATTAGGAACAATATCCTCAACTCTCTTTCTCAATCAGAACATTTCATGTCATATGTCATGCAATGAGACATTTTGGCAGCCGCCACCTTGACCTTGTGCTTCTCGCCCTCAGGGTGTGATGGCGTAAGTCTCTGTCAACCTATGAAAAGGCTGACACAAACACATAACTCAGTATGTCAGGCATCAATTCACTATATTCTATTAAAGAACTATTATAAGTATTATATAACATGTTGTACTGGTCTATGTTTTTCATCTCTACTCTTTTGAACATAGACTATATGTTTTTGTGCTTCTACAGTATGTGATGATTGTCAATATTCCTTACAGGAGGACGTAGAAATGTATTTGTTGGAATGGAGTGAATGAAAGAAGACTGAATAAAGAGCAGTGCAGATTTCAAAGGACACCTAAATAGCTGGTACATACCGAGCTGAATTCCACAATTCTGCAATATAACCATACAAAACATAAAAAATGATTAAAGTATTTATATATCATAAAATATTCATACTCTTAAACAATTATTATTAGAGTGTTTTAACCAGGTTTTCTCTAAAAGATGTCCAGGGATAATTAAAACATACTATTTTAAATGTTTTAAGAATATTTAAACTGAGCGTAATAATAATCTTTTTGAGGCACTTGATCATTGGTCAAGTGAGTCCAAACGCTGTATTTTTGTGAATCAGTGTGGGCACCCAATACACTGTTAATGAACACATTCACCTCTTCAGACACCCAGTTTAGTATACCAGCCCCCTCTCATTCCCTTGGGCATCAAATACCAATGTTTTACTAATACCAAGCCTCTCATCTAACCCATCTTCATCAGGAGACATAGTGTAGCGAGCGTAAGGAGGTGACTGGTGAGGAGGAATGGGTCAAACAAACAGGACTTTCACCCAGGAGACTAGGATTTGTGTCCCATGTGAAACAAAAAGTCCATCTTTTTGCAAGTAATCTAATGGTTTCGACCTGCCTACACCTAACCACCGGCTAGCCAATGCTTTGACTTCATCACTAGTTATTCTAGATGAAATATGTAACTTGGTCATTTGTAACTTGCTGTTAACAGAACCAAACAGTTAAGGTGTGAAAGCACCCTAAGTTAACCTTGATCACCAAGTGAAGTGAAGTTCCTCAGAATGTCTTACCTGAATTGCAGCCGGTACCTTTTACTTATTGTAGTTTTCAGGATGCCAAGCAGCACTGTGTCCAGCATATGTACAGGGGCACTCAACGCTGCTTGCCTAGAAGCTGGACATGTCCTTGCACAACAACCCTGCTGTCAGTCAAACCGCCCCATTACGTTGGGCATGACATTTAAAGTTGGGCGAAGAAGGCGGACAAAGTGCCCTTACCTCCTCCGTACTAGCCCTGCAGTAGAGCCCCTGTGTAGTGTTTGCGGTTGAGTGTGTTTGTGTGTGTTGTGACTTTGGCCAGACTTCGTCTGGCATAAGGACAGCTGTCACATCTCCAGCCTGTCACATGCGACACAGAGGAGATGCCAGAGGCCGGGGCATCAGGAGACACAAGGACGGACACAAGGAAAAGTGTCTGTGCTTTTGTGTGTGTTCATGCACCCATGTGTCTGAAAGAGTAAGGAGGATGGAAGACGTGGGGTGGTGGCCACGTGAAAGGCTTTGACTTGAAGGCACCCTCTAACCTTGATGTCCACGCACACACACGCGAGCACACTCTTTACCCGCTTTCTCAAATCCAGTCCTTGAGCAGTTGAGTCACATTCCCTGGGGGCATGTAGTAAATACTGCTTTAACGTCCAACCAACACCCCTGCAGGACGCCCTCCTTGTCTTGCAGTCCTCTGACCCAGGCCATTTCAGTGCTCATTACTTACCAATGAAGAAGTCTCTTCATTAAGGTCCTGCCTGTGGCCTGTGGAGCAAAGGCTTTTTTTAATGTTCCTTCTCTAACAACTCTTTACATAAGCAAGCAGCAGTTGCCCTCAAGGGTATTTGGTTAAAAGAGCTTAAGATGTGTGTATGTGTGCACAGAAACATTAATGGCCATTTGGTTTGGCTTTTATTACATTACAGAAGGAAGAGCTCTTCTGTTTCAATTTAAGTAATGGTTTCAAGGCTGGTGGGTTAAAAGGTCAACTTTTGTTCTCATCTTTTCACAACTTCCTGTTAGATTTGCAAAGTTTTGGGAGAAGAAAATCGTGAGAGAGTTTTCAGATCCCTCTAAATTACCACCACACTGCAAGGACACCCCCTCAGAACACTGTATTCCATAACCAAAAGCAGCTGTCAAGTAAATCAGTTGTATTGCCCCTCTACACTTTAATTTACTTTAAACATCCCAAGCATAAAAACTTTTTTTCTCCAGAAAACAGCATCATGAAATTTGAGCAGTGCATGAGTTTCAGAGACAAACATCTTTGCTCCGCTCTCAGTAGTCACGAAACAGCTATAATGTATTTTAAAAGCAAGTTATACTGTCTCTATTACTTGGAGATCACTGGTCTGAGTAGTAAGCTACAGGTCATACTCTGGAAGACATTACTGGTGATCACACTTGTCTGACAGTGTATGCTTGTTATTGCTCAGTTTTAGATAAAAGTGAAATAACTATGTAAAGTTTGATGCATATTTACACTTAAAAAACTATTTTTATCTTTAAACCTTCAGCTCCGTTGAACAGCACATTCATTTAGAATGGCAATATCTGAAAGTTAAGGGGTCAGATTTAGTTTTTGTTTGTTTGTTTGTTTCACTGATGCAGTATGACTTGTGACAGCTCTTCGCTGTCTGCTGGGACGAGATGGGTCTGAATCATTTCACAAAAAGGCTCTCCCTTCAACTGCGCCCTTGGTCTGACCGAATCGAGGGATGGTCCGCTGCAGCCCACACAGAGCTGCCCCATGTTCTTCGTCTGGCCCTCTCACCTTCCTGTTGGTTCTCATCTGTCTGTTTACTCTGTCCCAGTCCAATGGAAGCATCCATTAAATCACCTTTAAAGATGAGAACGGGACTTGACAGCTACAAACTGGAGCAAAACAATCTTTTCCCAAGCCTGCGCCCTCCTCAGCCCCACATCCCTGTGCCTGTTCCTATCTGTCCCATATCGTCAGCGGCTGGAGCCGCGAGCACTGCTGTGAGACAGAGAGCAGTTCTTGTTTACTGATGCACACTATATTGATGTGAGCTGATTCCATCAGGCAACACTTTTGGATGCCACACACCCCGCTGTCTTTCACTGCCTCCCTTCCACTCCCTATGTCTTTCCCCCCTAATGTATCTGCCACGACAAGCCAGGCTGCATGATAGTCAGCACAGCTGCTAACATTTGTTCAGACTGTTGATATCTGCATGTGCTACTGTAGATTCAAGAGCTGCTCATTAATGGCCTTTATTATTTGCATTCCACATTACATACTCAAGACAAAAGCCTTAAGAGCTGCTTCCTGTGCCCCTGATGTTTGTCACATGTTGTCACACCTGGGGCTGCAACTACTTCAAGTTTTGAGTGATTTTGTTCTTCTTGATTAATTCATTTATTTTTTCTTTAATTAAACACAATGGTCAAAACCATTAGATTACATGCAAAAAGATTAATTCCACTCCACTTGGAGAGAAAATGTTCAGTGAAGGAATTTCTTTTTCCACCCACTCAGCCGTGTTTTTCTCAAACCAATGGTCAGTTTGGTTTTGTGATCTGCAGACTAAAAGCGTGAGTAATTACTTCCTAAGCCTGATCACATTTGAGACTGCCTTGCTGCAAACTGGTTGCACTGTGCCTCTGTCCATCATGTATGGTGGTCACATTTCCTCTCACCACAGCGGGCAGCGATTATAACAAATGGATGAGTTCAAACCATCTGTAAGACATTTGATTAACAACACCGAGCCTCTGTCGGGAGAGAGAGCCCAGAATGGTACTTGATGTGGAATTGCACTAATGACAGTGCCTGAGAAGTAGCCATGCTCTAGGAAAAACATCACAGAATGAGAAATTAGAGCCTTGAAGAGACAGACGAGGTTTGTAGCGAGCAGCTCCGGGTGGCCTCTGCATCCATCTCACACATGATTTGATTGGTGCTCCCAGTCATCAGCTCAGCCTCATGGTGCAGCTGTTGAAGCTAATGTGGCATGAAACAAAACAGATGTTTCTTCTGGTGTCTTTCCTCTTCTCCTCTCCATCTCCTTCAATATTTTGGGACTTTCACACTTGTTGTGCACACACAGAAGTGTATGATCCCCAGTTTCATACTATTAGAATTTTATTTTTAACAGTTTGAAACTACAAATATAAAAAAAAAATACCGGAATTTTTAATCTAGCACAGATTGATTCTTGAAGTGCAAAACAAGTTCTGCAATGTAGATGGCTTATTTTATGGGTAAGTTACTACCTCAAAACTTGGAACCAAATCTAGAACCTAAAGGGATCAGTACGCTTCAAACAAAGTGCTTGTCAGATTGTTGAACAGCGACAAGTCTGAATCTCTCTCCGCCCACACCAATGATGCATCCAACAATTTTTGTACCTTTCAAAAGTTGACAATTGGACAAGCTAGCCCACTTGACACATTTTCAGAATTTGATAGAATAGAAGTTTGCCTGTTCCATGAGACAGGCGAGTGACTGATGTCAAGAACTCTTTCTGTGCAGATTGGCCTTTAAACGTACCCCAGCCTTAACTCTAACAATCCCAAGATATGTATTTGGTGTTTTACCTGTGGATAACGCTTTTACTGAATAACATTACCAACTTTGTCTTTCTCAGGACACAGCACTGGACCCTGGAGAGGATGTGGCCCTTCTCTCAGTGAGCTTTGAGGATGCTGAGGCTACCCAAGTCTTCCCTAAACTCTACCTTTCCCCCAGCATTGAACAGTAAGCATATCGCATCTATTTATTTTCCTTTATCAGTTGGTTCAGATAAATGTACATTTGGATGGAGATTGTGATTTGCATATGAAGTCTGTGACACCACATGAATGAGCAAGACAGCACATTTGACAATCAAAGTTGGACAATAAATGAGAATCAACTGGATTTATCATGTAATCTGAGATAATCAGCTTTTTCTCTCCATTAACAATAAATGGGAGGTTGATGTTGGACATATAAGTTGTTTTACCATTTCCATTTAAATAACCTTTATATAGTGATTATGCTAAAGTAAAAGAAGTGACATTGTGTCACTTTGTCCATGAAACAAGGCATTAACATTTACTTTCTTGTACAGTAGTATTTCTATGAAGTACGACCAGAAAAAAGCCACACACTACCGTCTTGCCACTGTGCACATTTAGTAAACACTGTATTAACCATCCAGGATTAATTGTCTTTAAATCAGACATATTCCTGCAGTATTAAGAGAGAATGAAAAGGTCAGCGAGTTTGTTCCAGGGATCTACTTGTAAAGACAAGCTACCTTTAGAATCACAAGGAAGGTCAGCCAAAGGTGACGTGGGCCTCTCGCTCCGCTTCTGATTTCGAGGATGCAAGATGTAGTTGGCGGATTAGCGTGAGTGTGCTGCAAATCTAGCGACATATTATGTCTTTGTGAATAATCCCACATCCCTGTGTCTGGACTCATCAGTCGGTTCCTCAAAAACAACAAGGGAAGAACAAAAAAATTAGATGGATGACACACAGCGTCTGAGCTTGGGATGACTGGATGTCTGCAGACATCTGGGGTGTTAACAGTACAGAGACGGTGTGTGTGTGTGTGTGTGTGTGTGTGTGTGTGTGTGCGTGTGTGCGTGTGTGTGTGCGTGTGTGCGCGTGTGTGTGTACACAGGCTCGTGTGGAACGTTTTCTGTGAGTCTGTGGGCAGTGTGTGAGTGTGCGCATTATCTTTGTTCAAATCCATTTTTTATGTCTTGTGTGTATGTATGTGTTTGTGTGCATTTGTCAGTTTACATTTATATGTGTGTGTGTGTGTGTGTGCAAATGGGTGTGTGTATGGGTGCGTGCATATATCCTTTATATCCCGAATGTGTCTGTTTTCATGTTTTGTGTGTGCATGCACCAGTATTTGAATAGGCTTTGCTCTCAACAAAGTCTTTGTAAGTGTGGATGTAGATAAGTGTGTGTGTGTGTGTGCGTGTGTGCGTGCGTGCGTGCGTGCGTGCGTGCGTGTGAGAGAGCCAGGTATGGACCCACTCTGACCTCAGGGCCCCACAGTCTGGGCTTTCGTGCTCGGAATAATCTCAGGCTGATGTTTATTTACAAGCACACGCCCCGTCGCACCAGGTTAAGAGACCTCTGCTCCACCACCACCACCACTACTCTCTCTCTCTTTCGCTCCCGCTCATCCTCCTCCTGTTCATCCTCTTCATCTTCAGTGCTCCTCTGTGGCTCCTCTGGTCCTCTCCAGTTGTTTTTAGTTTTCACAGTAATCGTATCCTCCCTCCCCTCTTCTGCCTCCCTCCATTTTCAGTCCATTTCTGCACATTATCTCTCTCTCATTTACTGTGTGTATCCACTTATCTCTCACTCTCTGGCACAATTGTAAAGCAGATACATGCACACACAAACAGACGCTCCTCCTCTCCAATATGTAAAAATGAACTGTGACAGGACCTTATCCCCGTGCAGCGATTGCAACAAAATACCCTAATTACACCATACAAAACAAAGGTCACCTACCTACTGCTTGTCCTACATAATCCTCACTTTTTCCCTGCTGTGCATGTGTAAGAGCGTGTCTAAGAGAGACTGCAATATAAGACATTATATTCCTAACCTTGATGTAGCTCAACCTCCAAGGTGTTTTATCTTTTCAGTGTAGTACAAGCACTGAATACAAAGACCCAAGCTTTAGCTTTTAATTCAATACTGATTTTTTTCTGATAATGACTTACATGTACTAGGCATGGTTATATTAAAGGCCATGTTTAAACAAGGAATGCGCTGTTTTGATGGGCACCTTTCTGCACAGGAAATCCGCTTGCTTGAACAGGCTTTCACCAGGAGCATTGTTATGGTGTTGAAATGGCAGAATACCTCAGGGTTAAGATATGCATGTTCAGTGCATATGTCTGCCTATTTTATGATGGAGCTGTGTGTGTGTGTGCGTGTGCGTGTGCGTGTGTGTGTGTGTGTGTGTGTGTGTGTGTTTGCGAGGGAGACTGACCTTACCACGTTTCCAGACCAGGCTGAAGCTGTTGCAGTGGTGTTGGAGGCTCTCGTCCTCTGCCAGTTGCGTGAGGAGAACAGACAGAAGGAGGCTAAAGGCAGCAGAGTGGAGAGCAGGAAGTGGGGAAACTACGGCGCAGGGGATGGAGAAGGGTGGTTGCCTACGGAGCGGCGGGGGGTTAGATAAAGGAGGAGAGGCTGTAAAACAAATCCTCCTCATCTAAACCCTCCTAAGAAAAATCTCAAAATGCAGAGGCTTAACAACGCCACGTTGAGCCAAGCTCTCATTTACCACCCCTCTTCTCCTGCTTAATGTTGCCTCTTTGTCTTGAGATATTTGCACATATGCATATGAGGGCTGTGTATAAATATGCTCCGCTGCATGCTTTTGTGCACCTTTTTGTCAGCTGTGTGGGAGTGTGTTAATTCATGACCCAGGGCAAAAATGTATGTCTTCTGCGCCGTTGTTTGAAGACAAACGTTTGCATGTGTGTGCGAGTTCGTGCATGAGCGCATTTGTATTGTACTTATCGTGGATGCTACCTAATTTAGCATGCGGATGTGTGCAAGCCTTTTTCTGTACATGTGTTGATGCAGATCTGTTACCCTGTTAGTTTTCCTCCGTGTCCTTGCTGACCCTTGTTAGTCTTTGGTATTGTGTAGCTGCCCGTTGTCTCTGCATTGGCTCCAGTGGAGAGGAAAACTCATTTGTTGCAGCGTTCCTGCACATTTCTCTGTTTTTCTGGCAAGCATTTGATAGACAGCGACATTCAGGAGCTTCTGCATTAACCCGAGCGACCACAAATGTTCACAATATCATATAATGGCAAAATAAAATTCACATCAAAACAGCTTTGGAAATTGTTTAAATCAGGTCTAGTTTTCTGAAATAGTGAGTGTAGCAGCTGTGGACAGCTACAGAAATTGTCTCAGCTTTGGTTTTTGGCACCGCTGGATTTCTGTGTTGGTACAGGCTGTCATATCAACTACATCTATTCAGTGTCAAGATGTTCCCTGGTTCTTTATGTCAGACATCTCTCTGTCATTCCAGCTTTAAATCAATCATTCTATCTTTTTTTTAAATTTATTTTGTATTGTCTGTTTTCATCCTCCATCTGTCCACACCTCTATTCTTCCTTCCCTTACTCCCTTATCCCCTATACTGCTGTCTGTCTGTCTGTCTGTCTGTCTGTCTGTGTACACTTTGTTTTAATTTTCTTTTCCAAGTAAATTTTTAATCCTAAAGATTTCTGTCCTGGTTGATTTGGTGACACCCATGATTACCATGGTAACAGCAAGTGCAGATTAATACTACAGCAAACACTTGTTGAGCAGCTAAAGAAGAAGAACAGCTGCTGTATCTGTTTACAGTGCAGCCAAACAAAAGCTTCAGTTTGAATCAGTACAGCTGTCTACAAAGGCCAGACTTGCACTTCACTCGCACTATACACTCCTATCCGTGACCACAACCATATTTTTAGGCTTTAATTCTTTTTTCTTGGGTTTTTCTCTCGTAACTGCGAGCATTGAGTACAGCACTGCCAAAATGTGGGTGACCTACACTTAATTCTGTGCCTGAATGCATCCTGTAGACAGACGGAAGCTGCTGCTGCTCTGCTTAAGTGCTTCCTGTGTAGACATTGTGTTAAAAATCATCTGTGGATTATTTATTTTAAAAAATTACAGTTTTTTTGTTTTGTCGTCACTAACAACGGTAACAAACACGTTATGTCTCCTGTGGTTGCTTTAAAATAAAAACCACCCCATATTCCGTTTGCATTAGCAGTTACTTAATGCAGCTCTGACACAGTGATACAGTGAGACTCTTAGCAGTGTGATAAAATAAAATCTCTCATGCATTGGTAGACAATATGAATCCAGAGCAGGAATGGCAGACTCCGCCACTACCAATAAAAAAACGACTATATTGGGAGATTATTACTAAAGGGAAATACATTTTTTGGCTACTACTGAATAAGTGCCATAAATAGTATCAAAAATGTGATTTGATTTCATGAAAATCGAACTTTAAAGTGAACCCAAGCTACCATAAAATGGTCAAACAATGGTGTGCTAAAATTAACATAAAAACAGCTTTGGAAATTGTTTAAATAGTGAGTGGGAACAACTACAGACGTGTATATTACTTTGTCAATCATCTGATCATTTCGTCCATCATTCTGTTGTTTGTCCATTCATCCTTCATCCTCCCATCCCTTGCTTTCGTGTCACTGCTGTCTTGTCTACTTTTCTTTTAATTCACTTTTTTCCATTTTTTAACTCTTGTGTCCTCAGTCGTATCTCTCAGAACGCCCCCCTCCCCTTCCCTCCTGTTCTTCACATGTCTGCCGCCTGTCTCTTTTCTCTCCATCTTTCTCCGCTTTTCTATCACTCTCTCTCCTCTGCTGATCCCTCTGGCTGATCCTCAAAGGGAACCGAGAGAGTGAGTGGGACTTAAAAGAGAGAGAAGAGCTGTGCTCTACCCAGCAAGGTCGTCCCTCGCTCGACTGAAACGCAGCGAGGAAAAAAAAAAAAAAAAAAACAACACACGGGAGAAGAGAGCTTTTCCCTCTCTCTCCTTTTCTCTTTCCTCCACCTCTCTACTCTTCTCTTTCATCACTCCTGAGTTGTTTGATATCTCACTTTTACTCTCCTTCAGCAGGGGCTCGGATCTAAGAGCTCTGAACGCAAACTCGTAAGCCCCCTGAGCTACAGTGTTATACCTCTATTTCTATTCCCTCTTCCTC